CTGAGGAGATAAAAGGAAAAGGAACGACACAGAAATTTTTATGTACAAGGTATTCTATTTTCTTCAAATTCATCTTGGCATTTATTTTGATTCAAAAAATCATTGTATCTGTCCCGAATTTCTCCGTCGATTTTGGCCAAAGTACGCAAAATCAGTTGACCAAATCCGTTACGGATCCTACACCCACACCCATGTCGTGTCGACACGGGTGCGGCACCGAAAGTGAAGAGTCCAAGCAACTTAGGCCTCCACCACTTCCTCTCTTGTATACTCTTCACCTCCACCCGTCTACAATGCTCCTTGTGCACACCCACCACTGCCCTCCTAGCCATTTTGCTTTCTTTGTTGACCGGCAAGATCCCTGTTTTTCAATCACGAATCCAACCTCCTACAACTCTTATAGGTCCGGTCTGCTCTTGTTGGCTTCAAAATTCAAGTTGGGTAAGAGTGGTACGGATAGAACTCAAAGGATGGGATTTGGAGTTGGGGATATTGAAGATCATGAGGCATGAGGAATTTGGTAATTTGATTATTTTGACCTTTGGTTTTTAGGCCAATTCTACAAGAAACATTAAATTTTGATGGCAGCAGAAAGCATAGCAGTGTTTGGAGAGCGGTGACCAAAGAAAAAGAAAGTAGAAAGAAAGATAACAGGGATGATTTTCATATTTGCGCTCTCCACACATGCTTTTAAGCCACATCATCGAAACCGATGCCACATGAGCATGGTCAATGGTGTTTAAAATACGTGTCTTTACCAAGTATAGGTCTTTAAATGGGAAAAAGAGGAGTCGGGGACCGTCTTTGCTGACCGGGACAAGTGAGATGTCAATTTAGGTATTAAGCAGTCTTTGTTATGATAGAATAGTTGCTTAGTCACTTGAACTGCTTACTGTGCAAGAATGCTGCTAGAGATGGTTGCCTTTTCTTTTTTTTACTTCATAGTTTGCATCTTCAACTAAATCATTGATAATAACACTACCGAGCCCTAGTTGGATTGCTACACTGCTTCTTTCTCAGAAGCTTTTATCAAATGACTCCTATAATAGCCTTACATTCCAGTACACTGGGCTTCTCAATTGAAAATCTACTGAAAGCAACGCCGGCAAGAACTCAAATTTTAACTTTGGTATAACTCATGCAACATTTTCAACTTTCTACATAACTTATGTAGCATTTACTTGTTCTGGAAAATATGAAGTTCATGAAAAGCTACTTAAAATCTGTAAAATATTATGCATAATATTAAAAATATTCCTTGCCCTGTTTAGAGCAATATATTTGATCCCTGCCATTTCTTCTTCGACTCAAACCTCCCTGATTAATTTGTGAAGCTCTCATAATGGCATTGAACTACGTACTTTGTGAAGAACATTTATTTCCTATGCAGGTGGCTAAGAGTGTAAAGATTGTGATGGCGTCTCGATTAGCATCAATTGCTATTACGCTAGATATGGAGACAATTCAGGTGTCACAGCTGTGTATTGATGCTTATACTGTCAAGCAATCGATTTTGCAGACCCCAAAAATAAAATTGAAAGAACAGGTGAGAAAGTTCTGTTTCTGGTTCGGCTGCTTATCTATTAATGATATCTTATTGGGTAAAATTCCTATTTGCTGCAGCAAGTAAAAGTTTTGAACCCCAGGAAGCTGGAAGTTTTTCCTCAGGCTAATAAAGATAAACTGCATTTTGAACTTCACCGGTTGAAAAATAAGCTTCCTGCTGTTGTTGTGAAGGTATGACAATTATCAAGACTTAAATCAAATTAAATCTGTGGGTTTTTGTCCGAACTACTCTGTTCACTTCAACTTGTAAATCTTGTCGGGATGTCAGGGTATTACTACGGTTCAAAGGGCTGTGGTGAACAAAGAACAAGAAAGAGATCGTAAGAGTGATGTCAAAGGAGAAACATATGAGTTGCTTGTTGAAGGGTAAGTTTTATGTACGGCTTCGGCATTCTACATCATTTGGTTGTGCTCTGTTTGGTGTGGCAAGCCTGTTATTCACTACAATATTCTGATAACTAGATGCATCCAAGATCTTAGAACTTATTTCTCTTTTCGGAAGAGAGGTTCCAAAAGTTATTTCGCTTTCACATACCTTATTCTGTTTTGTTGAATTGAAGAATAACCTAAGAGGAGGGCTAGTTAGGTTATAAAAAACGTTGCACCAATCTAGAGAATTTGAAAACTCCTTCTCAAACAATTGCTTAAAGTGAAGTAGATTAGAACTTGGGTCAATCTTAGTCTTTGTAACCTCCTTTTGGACAGATCCTTTTCAGCCAGGGTAGTCTCGGGCTGATAATGGCCCCCTTACCAAATTGATTATCTTCAATTATTTATAGCTCTAACATTAGATATTCATCTAATTGTATCTATCAAAATAAATTAGTAAATCTTAATTTTAAAAGTATATTCATTAGCAAACATAGTGTATTTAACTAGTCAATGGCTACAAATACACATTAAAATCCAGTAAAGTTGTTGCAAATTTGTCTGCTATTTTTTTCTTTGGGACTTCCATACGCATGCTATGTTTGCAATTAATGATTTAGACATAGTCTCAATATCATAACAGTACACCAAACTAATTTAAAAATTAAATGCAATTATGATCTCAAATATATGAAAGAAGACAAAAAACTGTAACTGTGGGCTGCATTTTATGTCTATGCAGGCAGCGTAAGGCTGTCGGCTGTTACATGAAAATTACTGTTCTACCAAGAATCTTGAGGCTCTGATACCATATTGAAGCGTCTCACCTACCTCATCTAAAAGTTTAAGTTGTTAGAAAGAAGGAACACTGTAAAATATTTATTTATGTATGTAAATTTAGGCCTGTTACATTTTTAAAAATCAAGTAAGGAATAACTTTGAAATTTGTCTTTTCAATTGGAAAAAAGTAATTAATGGAACAATTTTAATCACAAGATCATGATTTGGAGCTGTTTTGGGGCTGGTTTGTTGCAGTTAGATCATTTAAAAAGATTTGAAAGGATTATAAAGTATGTGCAGAAAATCTGTATTTGTTTGTTTGATTGAGAGATTATCTGGAAGGCTAGCAACTCATCTAATCAAATTTTATTTCAAAATAATATTGTCTAATATAGTTTCGAGGATCTTGTGAAGAAGTGTACAAGAGAGTAACAATCCTACCTTACTGTTTTGGTTCAATTTTCAGCAGCTTGGGCTTTTGGTTTTCTTTTCTGGGACCCCATGATCCAATTAGTTCTTGCAATAAAATAGAAGTCCTTCCACACGATACCTGATTTGCTCTTTCCTTTCTGCAGTACCGGTCTCCTAGCCGTAATGGGCATTGACGGAGTTGATGGGCGTAATACAAAGAGTAATCATATAATGGAGGTGCAACAAAGATTAGGCATTGAAGCAGCAAGGATCTCTATAATTGATGAGATTAACTATACCATGTCAAGTCATGGAATGACAATAGACTTGCGGCACATGATGCTTCTAGCAGATCTGATGACATATAAGGTAGTTCTCCTGGAAAATTTTTCCTCATCCAAAAACATGTTGGACTCCTTTAATGTCCGATTAACAAGTTAATGGACACCTGTTTATTTTTTTCATAGGGTGAAGTTCTGGGAATAAACCAAGTGACATGGCGTTCAGAAAATGAAAGATAGACGTACTGATGTTAGCCTCCATCTTGAGAAGACAACCGACCACCTGTTTATAGACATCTGTAAATGGAAGGGATGATAAGATAGAAGGAAGTTAGTGAATGATATCATGGCATACCATGCAGATAGGCCAACTGGATGTTTAAACTTCGGGCAATGGTATGTGTTTTGATAATTGTGGCATGAAAATTTTAATCTTGAACCTTAGCGTATCTTATATTGTGTCGTAATTATTTGAATAAGCTAATCATCAGAAGTCCAAAGAGAGAAAATTTATTTCAGTCTAACACAACCTTTAAGGTCTTGTTGCTAGATCAGAGAAGTAGTATTCTGAGGAATGGTTTCTTTTCATATAATATCTAGTGTGCCTATCTTGCTGCCGACGTGATGCAGGACCGAGAAGGGAGATGGGATAAATGCTAGGAAAATTAAAGAAAAGTGGGCGAACTAGAGAAGAATAAGATAAACCACAGAATTTCTATCATAGGGTTAAGTGTCACGTCTTTTTTGTGCTAGTTTCTGAAATAAAATAAACAAAGTCTTATTTATAGAGTAGGGGGTCCTAAACAAGATTTTCTATTTTGTTCCAATTATGTGCAGTTATTGTAGTAGCTCCTAAATCATACTACATATTAAAGTGACTTTTCTATCTGTGGGTGATCTTCTAAACATACAATGAAATTGAAACGTCTGGCGTTGGTAGGGTAATTCCAGAATAACTTGGTTATTTTGATCCCTCTACTTATCATATTTTATCTATTTATTCCTGCCCTCTTCTCTTGTCATTCTTTGTGAATGTCCTTATAGTTTGATGTTCTCGTGCAGTCCAAGTTAACTAATCCCGTTGTTTCCCGATGTTTCTGTGTCTTTCCTTTGTCTATGCCAGTGTTCAGCAGGTTGAGCTGAATTATCAATCAAGAACCTAATGTTTAATCCTAGGACTTTCGCTACAGATCGAATTTGTGTACTGTTCTGCATAGGTTAGTATTTTTGTCAATGCCGTCAGATGGCATTTGTTGGAGCGCTGCTGAATTCTCTTGGAGAGGATAGAATGGCACGAGGTAAAGATGAATTTAATGATGAGGGAAATATGCTACTCTATTTTGTGGCTTGATATTACGATGCAGGCTGGCTTGTTTTCTTGTCTCGCCATTGCATATGGTGCATCAAATTGTTATATTCACAGTTCACTAATTGGAGACTAGTGTCGTCAAAATCAGCTTTAATGAGTACAGAGTTGTTTTACTTTTCTGCCCTTTTTCCTTCTGTTATTGTTTTCCTTCTATTTTTCATGGGGCACCCTGTTATGGTCGACGCAGAATGGATCTTGTGCACATGGCGATTCACTGAAAGTCTGTGATTGAACAAGCTGTTCCCGTTGTTCTTCTAAATCCGTGAGCACCTATTTTGATAACAATAAATAAGCTCGTTAAAGGGAGCTATAACTTTAGAACTCGGTTAGGAGAGGTTCCCAATCTCTGTTTTTTAATATAAATGCTTGCCTGCCTTTTTTATTCCTTCTGTCTCGTTTAAATAGAGTCTATTACAAAAGCTATTAAGGCTTAACTAGAAAGTCCACAAGAATATAAGAAATCTACTAAACTAAGAATTCTAGTATATTAAACTACGACAACTAGAAATTCTACTAAACTTACGAATGAGTGTGCAACATTACCCTCCTCTTAAACAGAGCTTGGTCCTCAAGCTCGAAGTCTGGATAAGCATTACGAAAATGTTCAGCATCCTGATCAGCAAGTTCCAACCAAAATAGCTTCTTACATTGATGCCCAATCGAATACAATTCATCACAATTATAACACAATCCCTTTGCCCTTCTCTCTGCCATTTCAGCTCGTGACAACTTCTTTATGAAAGGAGCAGATGAACTTACCAACTTTGGTTCAGTAATACCACCTGGTGCATTGCTGCCCTTTGGAGTTGGAATTGTTGAACTTGTAGTAGTACTGAAATAGCCTTTAGTCCCTTGCCAAGTCTCACTTTGAGAAGATGTCGCCCGCACCAACTTCTGTTTCTTTTCAAAAGCTCGAGCTATATTCATGGCATGAACCAAATCTGGTGGACTACGCATTTCAACATCAAGCCGAATGGAATCGATCAGCACGGCAGTGAAAAGACTAACTTGCTGGTCAACACGAACACACTTACTGGCCCTAGCTAACCGTTCTTGAAATTGGCGCTGATATTCTTCAATTGAGCCTGTTTGCTTAAGGTTAACCAGATCACCTAGTGGATTACTGCCCAGTGGAGGCCCAAACCTGAGAGCACAATATTCTTTGAATTCAGACCAATCAACAGAGGGATACTCTTGTTCCACTTGATGATACCATAACTGTGCCTCACCTAGAAGATGGAATGCTGCCAATTCCACCTTATCTACTTCATTTGTTCTCTGATTGGAGAAGAATTTCTCACCACGGTGGAGCCAAATCAATGGGTCTTCAGATCCGTCAAAAGTAGGAAAATCCAGCTTTGTGTACCTTGGTACTACACTATTTCCTGTCAGCTGATTAGGCCGATTCTCTGGTCTGTAGGGTTGGTTGCCTACATTGCTGCTCGCTCCAGCATCAGAATCCTTTCCTTTATTTTTGTTAAACCCAACAATGAACTCCTGCAATTGTAACGATAATTGTTGCAGCTGATTAACCATCCTTGATTCAGATTGTGCCACCGCTTCTGTTATTCGTGCTTCGTTGGCAGCCTGCGCCTCTTGAAGGAGAGCCTGTAACTCTTCACGTTTGCTTGGATCGCCCATAGTGTTTGGCTCTGATACCAAGTTGTTATGGTCACGCAGAATGGATCTTGTCACAGGGCGATTCACTGGAAAGTCTGTGTTGAACAGATCCTTTCCCTTGTTTCTATTCCGTGAGCGACCTATTTTGATAACAACAAATAAGCTCGTTAAAGGGAGCCTATAACCTTAGAACTCGTTAGAGAGAGTCCCAGATCTCTTGTTTTTTAATATAAATCTTGCCTGCCTTTCTTTATTCCTTCTGTCTCTTTAAATAGAGTCTTATTACAAAGCTATTAAGCATAACTAGGAGTCTACAGATATAAGAAATCTACTAAACTAAGAATTCTAGTAAAATTAAACTACAGACTAAACTAAGAATTCTACTAAACTAAGAATTCTACTAAACTACGAATGAGTCTGTAACACACCCACTCTCGGGTTTGGGGGAGGACGGAATTGAAAAAGCTGGAGCATTGTCCGATGTTATTGGATATTATTTAGGTGTACCTTTCTTGATTTAACCATCTTACCTTTTTATCTTCTTTGGCAGTGAATTTACAGGTAGACGACTTGCAATATTTCTTCATGTGGCGTGATATGCAGATGCTAGCATTGACCATGCAACATCAGGTGAATTTAAAAGAAATCGTGGAAGGAGGCAGTCTTACCAACACCTGGAAGATTGGTATCATCAACCTTATAATGTAGAAAGTTACTTTGGCCCCTGTTGGTAATCATGTTTACGGGTGACACTGTTTTCATCTTTATTTAAGGCAAAAAGTAACGTCGGGAGTCCATCCTCCAGCCTGTGGTAACACATCCTTATGTTGCTCCATGGTTGCTGATGCAGATTTTGTTAGTATTTTTTATGATGCATTTGCAAAAAGTCTTGGCATATTGATAACTCATATTGGGAATCTTCCCTCAGGGAATTGCAGAATGTCTAGCTATCCAACCATTTGTTAGAGGAATAGGAGTAGTGTACAGTCTGTGAAGCAATAGAAGCAAATCAGGAAATTTGAATTATAATTTTCGGAAGAGGAATTTATGCTTTTGGCATAAATTTCCTAGTTTACGTTTGTTTAGAGTCGAGATAGAAAAGTAACTTATGAGAAAGGGAATTGCACTTTTTTGTTTCTGGAGTTCACCTGTTCTGGACTTTAAATTTGGGGCAAGACTTTTCACATGTTTGAAGAGGTCAATGATGTACCTGTCACTTTAATAGATGTGTTCTGGACCGCAAAAGGTTGCTTCTTTTTACAATGTCAAGATGATGTAAATTGATTATTTTGGCGTTCCATAACATTACATTTTTTTCTACAACATTGCTATTAGAGTGTGTGTTGTGTAGGGCTGTGCATGGATCGGATCGGATTTAGCACATTTCGGATATCGGATTCTATAAAATGCAATCCGAATCCGATCCAAACTCATATGTATATTTTCTTTGTATAAGAAGCAATACAGTAAGAAAAATTTATGTTTCTGCAATTATGAGAGTACTATTGTACCAATATAGCTAAATTCAGCAATTGTATAGGTAATAACTTGGAGGAAGATGTAAAGGGAGTACTGACTATCCGAAATTATAGTTTAGTATTTATGCATGCCTTAAATTTCGGATTTTGGATTGGATCGGGTTAAAATTATACCAATCCGTCCGAAATTTTAATACACAATCCGAAATTCGATCAAAATATCCGAAATCTGAAATTGAGCGGATTGGTTCGGATTTCGGATATCTGATCCAAATGAACGGCCCTAGTGTTGCGTAAAATGGTAGTCGCTACCTTTTTTGGCTGAACCAATTGTTGGCGATATTTTTTCCCTTTCTTGGACTATAAAAAATAGTTGGCCACTGTTTAAAAAAAATAAGGCAAATGACCAAGATATTTCACATCTTCGGTTTGTGGATACAAATATGTCGCCGGCAAGGTTTAATTCTTAAAGGAAATCAAGAAATACAGTGTATTATTAATACAGAAAAGTCTTGATGTACCAATAAAAGAATATTGTTTTAGGGCCATAAACAAGAATTCAAAATGATTTTAATTTTTTGTATGCATTAGTCCACACCATCTTCATGAATCGGTTGACGGGCTTCGAATCTCCTAAAATTTTGTGTACCTATCAAAGACAACCTGATGAACAATAGTCATTGCTTCGCCATGATTGTTCTTCGTTTTTTCGCGTTTTAGGGCCATAAAACAAAAATCTAGGATGATCTTCAATTTTTCGTGTGCTAATGTCCACACCATCTTCCTGAATTCGTGCGACGAGCGTCGAATTGCTTAAAATTTTGTGGGCCCATCAAAAACGACCTAATGAACAATAGACATTACTAATGTCCATGCCATCTTCATTAATTCGGGTGATGGAATCTGGATCGCCAAATTTTTTGGGTCTATCAGAAACGATCTAATGAACAATAAATCATTTCTTTGTTATGACCGTGCCTCTTTTTTCCGTTTTAGGGCCATAAAACATGAATTCATGACGATTTTGTGACGACCCGGCCGGTCGTCTTAAGAATTAACGCCCCGATCCCCTATTAACTGCTTCCCCTAAGTTCATTTCTGCTATTTTGGCTTGCCGGGACGTTCGGTGTTGAGTTTCGGAGAGTTTTGGGACACTTAGTCCCTAAATGAGAGCTTAAGTGTTGAAAAATGGTCCGTAGTCGGAACAGTATGAAGACGACCTCGGAATAGAAATCCAATGGTTCCGTTACCTCCGTTAGGTGATTTCGGGGTTGGGAGCGTGTTCGGAATGTATTTTGGAAGTCTGCAGCTCATTTAGGCTTGAAATGCCGAAGGTTGAATTTTTTTGAAGTTTCCGATCCGATAGTGAATTTTTGATCCGAGGGCCGGAATGGAATTCCGGAAGTTGCAGTAGCTCCGTCGTGTCATTTGGAATGTGTGTGCAAATTTCAGGTCATTCGGACGTGTTTTGGTTAGGTTTTTGAGCGAAAATGTATTTTTATGGAATTTGAAGTTCTTAGGCTCAAATCATTGATTAATTCGACTTTCCGACGTTGTTTTAGGTGGTTTAAGGGTTGGTACAAGTTTGAATGAGGTATTAGGTGCTATTTGGTTCTTTTGGTTGAGGTCCCGGGGGCCTCGGGATGATTTCGGGTGGTTAACGGAAGAATTTTTGAAGTGTTGCAGCAGCTGGTTTTTCTCTCTTCTGGTATTTTCGCTTCTGCGGCTTGGGAACCGCAGAAGCGGAGCCGCAGAAGCGGCCTGGTCATCGCAGGAGCGGGTTTGGGCAGAGTTTTTCAGGTACCGCAGATGCGGAGCAAATTCCGCAGGAGCGGCCTCGCATCTGCGAGAAAGAGAACCGCAGATGCGGAAACTTGGACTTTTATTAGAACCGCAGAAGCGGCTTAAATTCCGCAGAAGCGGAACCGCATAAGCGGTTAATGGTCCGCAGAAGCGAACATTGGCTCTTTAGTGAAAGTCGCAGAAGCGACTCATTTTCCGCACAAGCGGGACCGCAGAAGCGGTCCCTTGTCCGCAGAAGCGGAAATGCCTGTTCTGATATAGAAAATTCGAGGGTTTGATTTCATAAGTTAGAAAAATCAAATTGAGCTCGGGCAAGGGCGATTTTCAGATATTTTTGAAGAGAAGACTATTGGGTAACGTTTCTTTAATCCCTTCTAGTTATATTTCATCATTTTGTAGTTAAATCCATCCTTTAAATTCGAATTTGGGATCAAAAATTGGAAGAAATTGGGCAAAACTTCATAGGCTAACCCATTGAGTTTTGAGTGAGCATTTGACCTCCGATTTGGGAGATTTTTATTTGGTTAGACTCGTGAGAGTACGAGGATTCTGAAAATGTAAAAATTATTCGATTCCGAGGCATTGGCCTGAAGGGTATTTTGGTCATTTCACCTAATTTCACGTCGTAGCTTTGAATTAAATAGCAAAACCAGTTGTTTGCGATGTTATTTATGATATGTAAATGAATTGAATAGATTTGGGCCATTTGGAGTCGGATACTCGTGGCAAAGGCGTGGTTTCTAGTTGATTTTGAGCCGGTTCGAGGTAAGTGGCCTGTCTAACCTTGTGTGGGGGACCTTTCCCCTTAGGATTTGATATGTGGTAATTGAGTGCCTTGTACGTGAGGTGACGAGCGCGTACTTGAGCTAATTGTTGAAAACCCCGTTTTTACTTAAGATATTGAGACTGAGTTTCCTTCATATTTGCCTTGTTTTACTTGCAGTTATAACCTGTGTTAGATTAGAAAAGCATGTTTAGTTGATTTAACTTGCCTAATTGTTTAAGTTGCCTTGACTGTACTAAGTGAAGCATGCTAGGCTAGTACTACCTGATGTTTCCCTTTTGTACTTCATTTCTGAATATCTTCTGGTTGTGGTTGCGCATTTACATTGGGACTACGGATGTGGGATTCCGGTAGCTCCCCCCCCCCCTTGTTTGTTTACTTTGGGACTGCGGGTTCGATTCCCGATAGATCCCCCTGCACATTTACTTTGGGACTGCGGGTTCGATTCCCGATAGATCCCCCTGCACATTTACTTTGGGACTGCGGGTTAGATTCTCGATAGATCCCCCTGCACGTTGATAGCTGGACTACGGGACGGTATCCCGCGAGATCCTTCGGATATACACATATGATGGACTACGGGAAGGCATCCCGGGAGATCCACTGGGCAGTTGAGAAAAGGACTACAGGACGGTATCCTGGGAGATCCTCATTGTTACCATTGGTATTGAGCTGTACTTATTCTGTGGTTGTTCCGTTCTTTGTGTATTTGATATTGCCTTGTTTAACCTGTCTTATCTCACTGCTGTACTCATTATTATTGTCAGTTTTGCATACTGTTAATTTATTATTATATTTTATCTCAGTAGGGCCCGACCTTCCTCGTCACTACCCAACTGAGGTTAGGCTTGGCACTTACTAAGTACCGCTGTGGTGTACTCATGCCCTTCCTGCGCATGTTTTTCATGTGCAAATCCAGGTACCTCCACTCAGGCGCACTATCCTTGAGGCGAGGAGAGCTACGGAGACTTCGAGGTATATCTGCAGCGTCCGCAGACCGAAGAGTCTCCTTCCTTATTCTATCTGTAGTGTCTAGATTCTATCATACTTTTGATGTAGACATTTTGGAGATTAGAGCATTTACAGTATTTCTATTAGCCTGTGGTTCCCGTGAGTTTCCGGGTTTTGGGATTGAGTTGTAGACTTCCGTATTTCTTTTGAGTTGTATAGGCCGAGCGGCCTTATATGCAGTTACTATTTTAATATGTCTAGCTTTATTTAACCATTTCTCAAGTTAGGTTGTTATTTCCGCATTGTTAGGCTTACCTAGTTGTAGGAACTAGGTGCCATCACGACATGTTCATGGAGGGTGAACTGGGGTCGTGACAAGTTGGTATCAGAGCTCTAGGTTCATAGGAGTCACGGAACACAAGCCGGCTTATTAGAGTCTCGCTGATCGGTACGGAGACGTCTGTACTTATCTACGAGAGGCTTTGTAACTGTTAGGAAAATTCCACTTCATTTGACTTCCCTGTCGTGCGAGATTTTTGACATTCACAATTCCAAACTTCTGTCTTCTATTCTCTCACATATGGTGAGGACACGTGCTACTCGAGATAATCAGGCAATCGCGCCCCCTACTGTAGCCGTTAGAGGCCAGGGACGGGGTAGAGGCCGAGGACGCGCCCGTGGTGCAACCAGAGCACCTGCGCGAGCTGCCGCCGAGGTACCGCCAGCAGATCCAGCCGGAGCCCAGGCACCTGACACACCTACTACAGCTACTACTACTCCAGCCCTTCAGGAGACTTTGGCACAATTCCTGAACTTGGTTGGTACATTGATTCAGGCTGGATTGATTCAGGTTGTACCGGCTACTTCACAGATCGGGGGAGGGACCCAGACTCCCGCCGCCCCCACTCCAGAGCAGCGAGTTTCCATTGGTCAGGTTCCAGGTGTCATGGCGACACAACCTGTGGTCCCAATTCAGCGGGTAGTGAGTGCGCGAGTAGAGGACAGGTGGGTCCAGGAGAGAGAGGACAGACGAGGTCAGGAGGGAGAGTATAGAGGAGTGAGTAGACCTCGTGGACCGGGGAGATATACTGGTCCTTATTTTGGAGGCAGGGTGCGTCATGGTAGAGGTTTTGTGGGTCAGCCAGCTCAGTTTACACCTCAGAGTTCCCACAGAGTTTCAGGTGTTCAGGGGTCTTGGAGTACCCGTACCGCACAGTTCCCACTGCCACGTCAGTCACGAGGTTGCTTTGAGTGAGGTGACATACGCCATGTGGTGAGGTATTACCCTAGACTTGGGAGGAGTGCACCTCCACAGACTTCTCGGCCACAGCGCGCCCCGCAGAGTTCTCAGGCTTTGGTTACAATCGCAGTTGCTACCCCACCTACCCGTACCGAGACTGTTGCCTCCGATTTTGTCATCACAGGTATTGTCATGGTTTGTTATAGAAGTGTATCGGTTCTATTCGATTTAGGCTCTACTTATTCTTATATGTC